CCATCCATCCATCCATCCATCCATCCATCCATCCATCCGCTGTTGGTTCTCCTTCTTTAGACTGTTTTCCCTTTTAAATCAGTCAGCTGATGAGTCATGGGAAATGCTCAAATGTCTTTCCAGTGAACAAACAGATTAATTGTGTGTAATGAACATGCAAAGATGATCACCATCTCTGTGTGGAATAAGGCTGAGGACCGGCCAGGACATAGACAGTGTGTGACCCTCCTCCATTAAGAGTCAGGACGTGGCACCGTGGAGCCGCCGGACCGCCTCTGTGTGCTTTCTCCAGTTTCAGCTGCATGGAGATACAGATCCTATTTCCATTGATCTGTATAGGAAAAGGGCTGAGCTGGATGGCTGGAGAGGTGAAATTCAAAGCGCAGAGGAGCTTTGAAGGACAGTAGGAGAGCCGTCTCCTGAGGAGTTGAATGCAGGGATGCTTAGGGGACCTTAGAGGGCCTGAGGGCAGGTCTGGGCTTCCTGGCATCGGAAGTTCACTTAGCAGCTTTTTAGGTGCTGCCTTCTGTTGACAAACATACAACAAATGTTTTTAAGTAGCTCAAACGCAAGCAGCATTTCAGTTAATTTTAACACCGTACTGTTTTATTTGTGGAAAAATACAAAGAAAGATTTTAGTAAAATAGATGCAGAGTATTTACTGATTTAACAAGACAGTCTGGTGCACTGCTGAACAGATGTTCCCCACATATGCTCCACAAAACAAGTTCATTTAAAAATTGCAATTTCTAGCTACACCTTTGCATGACTTTTTATTATATTGTAATGTCCTTTTTAAGAATCAAACATTTGGTTTATAGAATTTCTTTCTTTTAAATACATTTCCATTTATCATTGTCTGAAATGTTCTTATTGCAAATGCTAAGTCAGTAGAAAACAAGCAGCTTATGCTTTCATTTCTCCATATGCACAGATGGCTGGCATTGCATTCTTATTTATATTGTACTTCAAATGAAACAACTTAATTTAACTGATTTTCTGCCACCAGGCCATAGTTTGTGTGTCTTTTTGTTTCCCTGTTTTATACAGACTGATATGTTTCCCCCTCTAATGCTGTTTGAAATCAATATTTCCAAAGGAGCCTATTCTAACATTCCTGGTTCAGTTATTATTGGATACGGCAATTTAATTCTTTTTTTTCCCAAGTTAGCTTTAATTTATTTGGCCTTATCTTCTTTTTACCAGCAAACTATAAATATTTATAAATAATGCAACCATTTTTGGCATTTACTTATTCATATTTAGTTACTTTAACACAATTGTTTATGTCCTACCTGCTAAAATGCAATGTTTTTTTTTTAAAGTAACTAGATATGATTAAGTAAATGCCACAAATGGTTGCATTATTTTTTTCAGTCATATAAAGATGCTAGATCAATAAGCATATATTATAAAACTGGTGGTGTTATGTTCCTGTCAATTCTTTGCTCCTGATTATTTATTTTATTTCATTTAATATTATAAATCAGACCACAAGCAGAAGATATACCATTTGCTTGATTTCTAGTTTGCCCTACAGAATAAAAATAAATAAATAAATAAATAAAAGTCAGTAGTGAAAAATTCAATCAGCATGGTTGAAATTCAGAATCAAATTTTTTTTTACTTCATATTCAGTGTTTCATTTTATTTAGTATATATTTTAATTTCCTACAGCGACATGTTTTAAATATATTATTTCTGCGACCAGGAGCGTCCTCCCCTTTACCTTGGTCGCTACCTTCCACCGCCACCAGAGGGCAGCTGTGACCTATTTCTCCGCCATGTGTCTGAGTTCTGAACTGTTTACATTCCTTCTGTCAGGAAAAAAAGAAAAAGAAAAAAGAAATGCCTTATTCACACAGGCGTTTCCCACCCAACCAGGGAAATCTCTTCCCCCTCAGCTTTAGTTCATACCTGTCAGCTACCACCTCTCAGCTGTAATTGCTGTTTTTAGCCTGGACCCCCACCCCCCACACCATATCAGATTGTCCTTGGCAGATAATACTCCCTCTAAATTTGTCCAGCTCACACAGAACCAAATTCTTTTCACGGAGATGACTCATTGGGACCGTGCGGACAGATAGTTCAGAGTGCACACCACATTAGATTTGATGAGGTCTGTGGAAGATCCTCTTGGTTCTGGCACCTTTTACGCGCTCTACTTGTCACAACATATTTGCAGGATGGAACTGAAACATCCCTTCCCATTAATCACATCCGTTTTGCGTTTTAATTTTCATCTCTTGGTTTGTCATGTGCAGCATTGGGACCAGTTGCATATATTTCTGACAAACATAAGCAGACAAACAGAAGACAGACAGAAGCAGATGCTCATTTCTGCAGGTTCATTAAGCACCACATCACCTCCAGCTTCCATTACGACTCATTTATTTGGAACTCCATACCGAAGTATGGCTTTCTCACTGACTTCATTATTCATGTGAGACAAAGCGCCGCTCTCTTTGGTGTGCCAAACTGCACTGTGCCACAAATTCCTGTAGGCGCCCTTCTCGCCATGCGCTCTCTCCGGGTCGCAGCTTGACGCACTCGGGGAGGACGGTCCACCTTTGCCACATCGCAGAGGGACTGAGGAGGAGGGAGAGAGAGAGAGAGAGAGAGAGAGAGAGGAGGAAACTTTGCACGATTACGATTGACACGTTTTATGACAGTAAAGGGGAAGCCTAAACTAAGCATCCGTCTGGAAGCGAGGGTTTCCCCCACTCAGCGGAGAAAGGAGCTGCATCCTCTAAAGCTGTTCATGCCGGATAAAGTTTGCGCGCAGCTTGTCAGAGGAAAGAGGAAAAGGATTCGATCGAACGCGTAAACTTGTAGGAAAAGTCGCACAGAAATGGGAACACTGCGTGACCTCCAGTACGCGCTCCAGGAGAAGATTGAGGAGCTGCGCCAGAGGGACGCGCTCATCGACGAGCTGGAGCTGGAGCTCGACCAGAAGGATGAGCTCATCCAGAGGTTGCAAAACGAGCTGGACAAATACCGTTCCATCATTAAGCCGGCGACCCAACAGGTCCACAAGCAGACCGAGCTGCAGGAGCAGCAGCGGACCAAGAGACAGGCGATCTCCGCCGAGCCCACTGCCTTTGACATCCACGACCTCAGCCATGTCACCCTGCCTTTTTACCCCAAAAGCCCACAGTAGGTGTTCAGAATCTTCTGCTCCTAAGAATAACTACCCTATAATTTGTATGCGTTACCCCATTTTTTTTCCACCTGTGGGAATCTTGTGCGTAATATTGCTCGTGGTGTAGCAGGTGTTTCACCTGTAGCGCACACAGAAACGGATGCACGCACAAACTCATCGCGCACACACACACGTCAGAATATTTTGGCAACAGTTTTGCCCTAGAAAGGATTTTTTTGGTGCTTCTTTATTTCAGAAAAACAATGCAATTCTCAATATCAATAAAACTCCTTATATTAAAATGCAGAAATGCGCAGAAAACCTCCAGCCTCATTCCACCAACCTGGAATAATAGATGGATGTAGATAATGGCTGCAGCTCTGTTTAATGTACCAGCGCCTGTTTTATACAAATTCTGACGGCGTGACAGGCAGTTTAATAGCATAGCTGTGCGTGTTTACTCTAGAGACCTCATTCCTCTTCTCAAACTCTCAAGCAAACAGGGTCCCCTGCTCCACTTTATTGGCAAGAAGAGGTCAGAATATTCCAGCTGTGCGTGTGGTTTCAGCCTATGTTGAGCTATGCACTTCCTTATTGAAAGGTGGACAGGAAGAACATTCTTCATTTCTCAAGTAAATAACTTTTTTTTTTCCACTTTGAGCTGTGGAAATGCAAGAGGGGGGTTAGGGAAATCACAAATTTGGATGAAACGTTGAGATGAGATGGTGAAATGCATGCAAACAAGCCTGTGAGGATCTTATCAAAGCAGATTCAAATCTGACAGCAGTTAT